TTTATGTTGCAATAAAAATATTTTTCTTTACATATGAACAAAAAAAAGTTTTAAATAGTGCTGATTTTGATTTTTTTTGCTGTCATGTTTAACTATAATTAGTTTTGTTTGTTTTTTTTTTGTTTTGTTTGTTTGTTTTTTTTTTTTTTTTTTTTTTTTTTTTTTTTTTTTTGCTTGGACACTATAATTAGTAATTAGAGAAAGTATGGTCATTCTTTTTCTCACTCTCCTTAATTCTCTTTTTACCATATGTCATTTTACTTTCCAATAAAAATGGAGTATAACCATAAAGGCATAAACCATTATTTTACACGTTATTACAACTCTGCCATTTTTTTCTTTCTTAATAAAAGGTGTTTAATAACTTAAGATCACTTCTTTATAATAATACATGATTACAATTACAGCAAAAATGAAGCTTAAAAATTTGAAAAGAGGAATTTATATGTCATATATACAATCGTCTTAAAAAAAACCGTTATATTGTATATACTTTGCATAAATATTGTCAAAACTCGTTATATATAAACATATAATATATATATACACACCTCGGGTCCGTTTGGTAGATTGATCATAGTTCAGAATCAGTGTTTGATTTAGATGATTCTGAATTATGATTCTGAATCTGATATGATGTTTTAAACCAGAATCACTCATGATTCTAAAACCATCCCCTCTTGATTTAAAGTGATTCAAACTCATGATTTAAACCCAAAATTATGAAACATAATTCTAATTCAAAAATCATAATTAAAATCACATTGATTTAAATTCTTGTACCAAACGAACACTTCATAAATAATTTTCTTTTTAAACGACACCGTGTATATTACTTTTTGGTAGAAACCGTATATAGTATTAACTTCACATAAATATTGTTAACACGCATTATACATAAACGTAAAATGTACATAAATATATTTACAATTTATACATCAAAATTGTTATGTATTACGTAATAATAATTGAATCAATAATTTGGCAAGAGGGGAAAAAAACTATGATTTAGGAGTTTTTTTTTCTACTAATATTGACTAGTAGTTTATTTATTTTTCGTTGATTTTACCGATTCGAGTTTAGAATTCAAGTTTTGTTACAGTAAAAAGCTATTATAAATAATCACATTTAACTTTTTTACTACAGTAAAAACTCTCACATAAAATCACATTTGAACTCAAATTAAAAACTTAAATCAGCGAACTAAACAGACTCTAAAAGAACTTACCATTTTTCTAGTAATTATAATAAACATTGAATGTCTGTGTTATAATTAGCAATTGTAAATAATCAATTGCGGCAATTATTAGAGTGATAGTGACTAAAAAGAAATAATTTTAAAATCCTCCTCAATTATGACTTTGGTCTTAATTTAATCTCGAATGTTAGAATCTTATAAATATACTTTTAAATTGTTAAATTGTTACAAGAAATTTCCTTCCGTAGCCTGAAATTTTAATGAAATTCAACGTGTTAATAATTGGAGTTTTTTGTTCTTAAAAGATACCTATAAACTGTAGCATGCGTCTCAATTTACCCCTCCAAACTTTAAAACATTATGTTTCTTTTGAACTTTTTTTGGGTAGACGGGTTGATCTAAAAATCTATTGGCATTTATGAAATAGAACATTATAAGTGTAACATATAATTCACGGGACATCAAGTGGTTTAATGGCTTTGGGCTTACTCTTTAGAGGATGTTTGGTTTATAAATTTAGAATCATGATTCAGATGTATTCTTGATTTACGTGTATTTTTTATGAGAGAAAATACTGTAGTGAGTCACGAATCATGGCACGGATCCTTACTCTAAACGCACCCTTAGTGATTTAGTAGAATTGGGGTTATTAGTTCCATGTAAAGCACTTGAGTTTATAAGCTACCGAGATAACGTTTTGTTTTTGTTTTTGTTTTTATTTTTTTATTTTTTTAGAAAAAGAGATAAATACTTCTTCTGTATAGATCTGAATTTTTATCATTTATTCTTAATTAATATCATTTTCAATTAAATAATTGTATTAATTAAAAGAGTATTAATTAATAATTAAAGTTAAAAATATAGACTTATCTATTTTAAAAATAAGTGTAACAATTTTTTCTCTCTTTTTTTTCTCCAAAGAAAAACTTTATTAAAAAAATAAAAAAGCCCAACTAACGCATGATGACCACAGAAATAGCCACCTCTTTTTAAGACTAAAACAACAAGATGAGCCTGAAGCTAGAGCTTATTTAGCCAATCTATCCGCACAGCTATTCTCTGATCCAGGGATCCAAATAACGATATGTCATTACACAAACTTGCCTCGGAAGAAACTGAAATGGACAAATGATAAACATGCCAAGAAGTTTGCCGCCAAAGCTTCTATAACTGGCTTACAGTTGCCAATTAGGCTGCAGGCTGCACTAAGTAGTGATCGAGCTGCCTCTTTTCCTTGAGACGTGATAACAAGGACAACCAATACACGCTTTTCACTGAGAAAACAACCATTTCTTGTAGCTGACCACACCAATTTGTCCGGCCTTGTCCACAAGATCAACATTCCATTCCCTTGAAGACGGCAACTATTTCTTAAAGTCTAAAGTAAGGTCTCATTTATTTTACCGATTTGAGTTATCAGTTTTAAGTTTTTACAGTTAAAAATTTTTAAAAAATGTCACATATAACTTTTTCTGTTACAGTTAAAAACTCTCAAAAAATATCACATCTCAGTTCGAATTAAAAACTCAAATTTAAGAAGCCAACGAGACTTTAATAAAGGCGAGTCATCACCGACTCTTGAATTGAAGGCAGCTCTAGAGATGTCCATTTTATACCATGGCAGCCACCGGTTTGGGCCTAATTCAGATGGAAGCACCATTCCCCACAAGATAAAAACTTTTCGCTACCACTAAACTTCTAGCACTGAGAATACTCTTCCAAACAAAGGAATCTGAATCCTTAGCCTCGACATCCCAGAAGGATTCCTGACCACAGTATTTGCCCTTGAACATTTCATCCACAAGCAATCTTTGTTAGACACCAATCCCCATGCCAGCTTTACAAGCAAGGTTATATTGAAGTCTTCAAAACGCCTAAAACCAAGGCCACCACTTGGTCGAGATAGTTAATTAGGGCTTGTTCTTTTAGAATTTAACTTGAGTATAATTCTTGAGTTGAATTTGAGTTATAATTTGAGTTGAACTTGTAACTTGAGTTTGTGTTTAGTTGTGTACATTTGAGTTATGGTTTGAGGTAAGAATCTTTTTGAGTTTGTGTTTGAGTGAGTCAAAACTTAAATTTGTATTTAGATAGTATTTTAATAAAAATTCAATGCTGAAGAAAAATTTTAATAGGGTATATGAATCGGGTTTTATTCGTCTTTTCGTTGTCAACGCATAGAAAAAAAATCATCTCAATCAGAATTAAAACGAAAAAGTTATAGCATTTTTAAGAATAAAACAAATATTGTTCATTAATTTGAGTTCGAGTTTCTGAACTCGAGTTGAAGGGGAAACCTGAACTCGAGTTTTAGTCCTAAACTCAATTTTGAACTCGAGTTTAAACTTAAAAGAACATGATTCGAATAAAGTTGTAACTCGAGTTGTTTTTTTTTTGAGTTTTTCACTCAAAAGAACAAGCCCTTAATTTTGTGATTCAATTTTATAGTTAGAGAGTCTGTTAGAATAATGTACACGTATTAGCAAGACACTGGTTAGAGTTGTAATTAGTTAGAGCTTAATTAGGCTATTTAAGATAGATATTGTACATTTCATTTGTGTAATGAAGATTAGTTTCATTTTTTAGAAAACGTTCTTTCATTTTTTCTTAAAATTAATATGGTATCAGAGCAAACTGGTTCTGGTGAGAGTGGTTCTTTGTCTGCCATGACTGAAGCTTCGAATTCTTCTATTCACTTCAATCCTGTTTTCTTCAGTTATCCAATTTCGGTTCGACGCAGTGTGATCTAGTCCAAGAGAGACAAGTACCTAGATTTCTCGACTCCACCCGTCCACCAGAACTTTCTTACAGCTTTACCCATTTCTTGACAAATTTGTAAAGGAATCTTGAACATAAGCTTTGTCTAATCCCTACCGACATGTTTATTAGTCTTTGGTTTTTGACACCCAACATAAGCAGTTGTACTTAAACGCAGACGTTTTTTTGTACCTATTTGCGTGTTAGGACCAATATAATCACATCTTAAAAGGTAATTACGGTTAGTCACCCATCTTTGCACTAATAAAAATTCACGAAAAAATATAAATGCTTCCTTCATTTCACCGACTCGAGTTTTGTTATAGTTAAAAGCTCTTAAAAATAATCACATCTAATATTTTTACTACAGTAAAAAATTCTCACGTAAAGTCACATTTCAATTTAAATTAAAAATTTGAATTAACGAACTAAACGGGTCCAAAATTTAAAAATTAAATTATTACATAAAGTACAGTCCATAGGAGATTTTTAAATACGAAAATTCAAGGGAGATTTCTTATAAGTAAACGTTTATTAATTCAAGGAAGATTTTTATAACATTTCAAAGTTCCTCGGCCAGTAAACTAAAATACACAAACACACCGTCCTCAAAAAATAAAAAATAAAAAAAAATCAATAAAATAAAGGCAATTTTTATGATAAGGCAAATATTTTTATCATACCAGTTTTATTACTATTTAAGACGTTTGGTTCATAGATTAGAACTATGTAATTAAAATTATTTTTTATTTATGTGTATTTTTATGAGAAAAAATACTGCAGCGAACTACGAATCATAATTTGAACCAGAAAACGAATCTAGGTACCAAACATAAGTCTTGAATCAAATTTTTTACAGTTTGAAGGCAGGTCTACGTTAAAAATTTAAAGTGTGCCACAGATAATTACTTGCAATTCATAGATGAAGTAAATCAAATAGTCAACATAACAGGACGAACCACTAGGGTTGCCACCATAAGCTTTTCCTTAAAAAAAAAAAAAAAAAAAAAAAAAAAAAAAAAAAAAAAAAAAAAAAAAAAAAAAAAGAAAAAAGAAAAAAAAGTCAAAATCAATGCCATCACTTTTTGTGGAATATTGTTCAGTACTCAAGAAAAAATGGTAAGAAATTAATAGCGATAATGGAGTCATAGGACAAACACAGCGCAGTATTAAATAAGGTGATTGTCTTCTTGAAAGGCTGTCTGGCTCTCTCTCTCTCTCGGTCTCACTCTCTCGTCATACCAGCGACGGACCATCTCTGCTTTGGATTAATTATATATATACACACGCCAACGCAATAAAACTTTCCGTTCACTTTCTCCTTAAGCCTCTTCTCGTCTTCTTCTTTTTGTCGTTTCCGTTATAGAGAGGGAGAGAGAGACTCGTACGGAAAGCTTGAAAAAGCGAGATATGGAAAAGCTGTGGAGCTTGGAGGACTTCGATGTGGAGAACAAGCGCCCGTCGCCGGAGGCTCAACGCCGATGGAGATCTGCCGTCGGCGCCGTCGTCAAGAACCCTCGCCGGAGGTTCCGTTTCATCGCCGATTTCGCCAAGCGCGATGCGGCCGACAAGAAGAGGAAAAGTATCCAGGTTTTTCTCCATTGCCATTTCTCAGTATTCCTTTCTATATGCGTAATTTTTTCTTTTTCTGTTTGGTTAGATCCAAAAATTTGCAATATAAGAGCGTTTTCGAATTTGAAAGAAAAATTGAACGCAAATATTGACGAATTTCAACAATTCGCTAATCTATGTTTTACTTTGAATTGTTATTATTATTTTTGTAATATCGTCATAAGTCATTTCGTTTATTTAGGTTTTCATCTAGTATTAGACTGATTTTACTCAATGGCTGAGAACTTCCGAGTAATCATTTTGATTTTTTTACTTTTTTTTTGTTTTAATTTTTGTGTTTATTGCTGCTTTAACACGTTTTCACTCTTTTTCTCGGCATCCAAACAGAGTCCTTGCTTTTTGTTTTTGTTTTTGTTTTTGGGTACCTGTCCTTTCTTTTTCAATCCACTATCTTTAATGGCTTTCTCAAAATAGGTAGCTAGCTGGGATAGCGAAAGTGCTCCGCGTAGAAATCGTGTTTAACTTTCTAGTTTCCGTTGGTTCGTTAATTTGAGTTTTTAATTTGAGTTAAGATTTAATATTACGTGAAAATTTTTTACTGTAATAAAAAAATTAAATGTAACTGTTTCTGAGAACTTTTTACTGTAACAAAACTCGAATTATAAATTCAATTCAGTGAAATAAACGAGATTTAAATGGGATAAAATTATTCTCATGCACTTTAGACTTATGCACTTTAGACTTTTCATTATTTATAAAATGGACCTTGACAATGCAATTCTGTTGATAATCATCAACAATGCAATTCAGTTTGATTACAGTAATCAATTAGTGGGTAGTAAATCAAGCTCTAAAATGTCAACTAAGAGGATGTTTGGTAGAAAGATTCGTTCTCTTATTCGAATCATGATTCGTAGTTTGTTATAGTATTTTTTCTCATAAAAAATACACATAAATTAAAAATGATTCGAATCACATAATTTGAATCCTCTAACTAAAGGTTCTCAAAATTTATAAAGTGCATTTTGAGATTTTTTCGCCCATTAATTAATGTCAGTCAGTCAGCTTCTGGACTACAGTTTCAATAAGTTTTCAAATTTGAAATCCAATTTATCAAAAGTTTTGAATTCAAATAGGTGCACCAGCACAATAAACTTTTAGATCTATTTAGTAGGTATAATTAAATCATAATTTTTAATTTTAATATTTAAAATTTAAATTTTTTACGAGAAGAAAAAATAATAATAGAATTAATTATTTAAACAAACAAACGTATTTTGACTAATTTTTAGGGGTTTTTTTTTTCCACTACTATTTGACCAGTAGTTTATTTATTTTTTATCTTGCTCAAGGCCGGTAGTATATTTGAAAATGGTTATTGCACTCTTGACGGGCAAAAGACCGGAATTATAGATTAACACAAGTGGACGCTATATAGGCTGTGACTTTGTGTCACTTGTCTGTCCTGTATTAATGATCTGGTGTCCCCAATGTTTATTAGAATTGGGACCATCGTTTTCGGACTATATGCTGACGTGGCGCTATCCGATTGGGTGTTCTGGATCAGGCCGCTCAATAATTCTGTTGCTGACGCACAGCTTCTAATCCTTTTTATCGTAAGGCGGAATTGAAAAAATTTGAACATAAATTTGTACTTTTTCTGATAAAAAACGCTATAAAAAAAAATTTAAACTATAATTTGAACTCTATGTCTTAAGACGAACTGGATTTATTGTGTAGCTGCACAAAATTACATCCGAGTAAAAGGACAAAAACAATAAAAATTTAATAAAAGACTAAAGATGTGTAGTTTATAAGTTTAAATTATAATTTATGATTATGATATTTAAATTTTTATGAGAGAAAAATATTATAAAAGAATTAAAAATGATGGTTTGAATCTATAAATAAATGATTTAAATTATAATTCATGATTATGATATTTAAATTTTTATGAGAAAAAAATATTATAAAAGAATTAAAAATGATGGTTTGAATCTATAAATAAATACAGCCTAATAGTTTAAAACAATTAAAGAGAATTCAATTTCTTTTCACTGGGAAAGATTGGCACCAAAATACATGCATAGCCAACTTGGCTTTTTCAAAAAAAAAAAAAAAAAAGAAACTAAAAAGGCCCAACATTCTTTGCGTGCAAACGCATCTATTGATTCAAATAAGATGACTCTCTCTGATGCGTTTGCACGCATTGGAGACTGTCCCTTTGCCCTAGATATTAGACAAATAACTGGAAATTTCCAAAATTGAAAAAAGAAAAAGAAAAGAGACAAAAAAGTCGCTTGAAGATGTAGTGGTTGTGATATAATACTTGAAGAAAAAGGAGCTATTGACTTTAACCTTTTGATAATGACAAGGGACGAAACTTCCTCGATGTTTCTCTCTTGTCAGCAGGCACATTAATGTGGGACAATAGAAAAATTAAACAAAGTACATTGATGGGAGAGATTTTTAGGATTATGTTTTTTTTTTTTTTTTTTTTTTTTGTTGGGATTGTGTTAGCATCTGGTTATTAGTAGTTAAGCAGTAAGCACGTATTAAGCGAAAGAGAATCAGATGCTCATGCTCGTCATCTTCTTTACAATTTTTTATCGAAGATATTCTTCTGCTGACATCTGTTAAACTTTTGATGTATACATTTATTTTCTTTTCTTTTTCTTTTTTTGGATTGAATTCTTTTATATCGGCTACCCAGTTCCTTTTCTGTTTATTTTTATGTGTCGTTTTCTGTCATTTCCGTACGTAAGTTTATATTAACGAACAGTCTATTTGTTTTGATGAGATTCATCCCTATCATGTTAGAAAATATACTTAAGAGGTAAAATATCTCTCAAAATTCAGGAAACAGTCACTAAAAATTAATAGATTAATAAACGAAAGCGTATTTAAATCCATAATAGTAAATTATTCTCTAAAATTATACGATTTCTCTTCTAAATTAACACGTTTTTTTAGAGAATTCTTTAACTTTCTCCCTGCTCTCTTTGATGATGGGATGTCAGAAAAGAATAGAATAATAATATGTATAATCTGTAGACTATAACTATTATATATAGATAATTTCTTATTATCTTTTTGGTATTTCTATTTTAGTCCATCATAAAAATATAAATTATCTTTAAATCTGTACACATTAAGAGCCCACACCCTATCAGATACATTAAAGCTCAAATTACCTAAATCTTAGTAGACCACTTTTAAATGGGCTTAATCTTATATGACAGTCTCCAACACATAATTATTCACATATAAGCTCAATATTAAATTAAAGATCCAACATATCAAACACAAAAGTAGACCCACCATGCCCATCGGGGACAAAAAAAAAAAAAAAAAAAAAAAAGTTTTCCTATACTAAATGCAAGTTGCTTTCAACACAACCGTCCTGCTTCTAGGACGGGGTATGGCATCCCTTTAGACTTTGTGAAAGGTTTCCTATTTTTGATGGATGGTTTTATAGATTTTCAATGGAAATTATTAGTTTATTACATCTTAGAGAGAATTATTTTAGGAGCAATAAGTTAAATTTTCTCTTTTTTATTTTTTTTTATTTTTTTATTTTTGTATTTTTATTTTTAACAAATGGCTTCTATGTTTTCTACACTAACAATTCAACATATTGCATATTTCAATTTTCTTGACAAATTTTTAATCTGTCAATGGCCTTGAAAGAAATATATAGGAATTAGTAAACATTATTTTTGAAAGAAAAATTAATAAACAAATAAAAAGTAGTAAATAATTTATTTATTTGCTATATATTTGGTAAACAAAGAATTTACTGAGTACAAAAATTGATATATAATTTATTTATTGAGAAAATAAATTGGTAAATATTAGGTAAATAATTGATTTATTATTTATAAACATGAGTGATATTGTTTTTTGGGTTAATTGCTAAATAAAATTTACTATATAAATTGATAAATATTATGCAAGTACGAATAGATTTATAATAAGCATTAGGTAAATTTAGTAACTCGGTATATATTTACTAATTGAATATTAGGTAAATTTATCAATATTGTAAATATTAGGTAACTAATTTATTTATTAAGTACAAAATTTGTAAATATTGAGTAGGTGTTGGTAAAGACTATATATACATGAACTAAATGAATCATAAAACTCCAAATGAAAACCCTAAATATTAGTTAAATAATAGATTTACCAAGAAAATAGTAGATAGATTTATTTAGTCGGTAAATATTAGGTAAGTAAAGAATTTACTCTGAATAGTAGGTAAATTTTCTTTACTAAATAATAGGTTAATCTATTTATTTGGTAAATATTAGACAAATAATGTATTTAATAAGTATTAAATTTTTTAAGTAACTTATTTATTAAGTAAATAGATTGATTAAGATTAGATAAATAATGCATTTATTAGGTATAAAAATGATAAATATTAGATAATTCATTAATCTATTTAGTACATAAATAGTTAATATTCAATAGGTATTGGTAAATACTAAATACTATATTTACATGTAATAAGTAAATAAAAAATCCCCAAATCAACTATAAAATTGAAAGCCTTAACATTAAAAGCCTCGAAATTAAGGGAAAAAAAAAGGCACAATGCTAAATAGAGTTGCACAGCGATCATCAGCGTAGTTTAAAGTAAGTTTACATTATCTCTAATATTAAATTCAAATTCCTTCATCCTAGATAATAATATATATAGTTGCATAATTATTTAGAGTTTTATGTAACTCACAAGAGAGTTATTTGGTTATGACAAGTATTTCATGTAAACTAAAATAAAAATTCCATCTAAATTTGTAAAAATTTATTTCTCTGGCTCGAAGAATATCCAACATTATTAGTCAATGCTGATGGCTTCTTTTTTCTTTTCCTTTTAAAAAATTGTTATTTGTGTCTGGCCTAAGAATATCTAATATTATTAGTCAATCATGCTGACTCTTTTTCCCCCCTTTTATAAAAAAAAAAAGCTGCTTATCTCTACTACAAAGATAAAAGCTACGTAATTTTTCTTTTTGAAATGAAAAATCGAAGTACTGAAACCTTTTTTCTTTTAGTATCATGTGCGTTACCTACTACCCTAAAATAAAACCGTGAAGTTACAATAATTGTTCCATAATTTTAGTACAAGCCCACTGGTAAAACTAGTACGTATTTAAATGGAGTATTATATTATCTCTGCTATTTTAACTTAGTGTTGAGTAAACATCACTCAAAAAGGCTATACAACGATATGGTCAGCATTAATTTTACTAAACACTTATGTTATCGCATTTTTTTTTTTTGGTTTTTACTATCATTTACTAATTCTATGAACAAATAATTGCTGGGAAAATCAAGCAAATTCTATTAGATGCCTCAGATATTGCAAATCTCAAAATTTCAAGTAGAGAAATTGAGGCTTCTGCTATCACATTCGTTTTAAGTCCATTAAGTTAAGTTTCCAATTTTTCAATAATTATACCTCCGAGAATATGATTTTCGTCAGTGTTTTGACTTGCCATATTCATTTGCTTTACCAGGAAAAGATACGAGTTGCTCTTTATGTTCAGAAAGCAGCACTGCAGTTCATCGATGGTATTGTCCGTGCTCAGCAAGATTCTCTGTTCTCCTAATATCTTGTTTAATTGCATTTTCTGTTGTGCAGCTGGTGGTAGAATTGAATACAAGTTGTCTGAAGAGGCTAGGGAAGCGGGTTTTGGTATTCACCCTGATGAGCTTGCATCAATTGTACATAGCCATGATATTAGGGCCTTGAAAATTCACGGCGGAGTTGATGGAATAGCAAGAAAAGTCTCCGTCTCAGTGAATGAAGGGGTTGGCGAGAGGGATTTACCTATCAGGCAAAATATTTTTGGGGTCAATCGTTATGCAGAGAAACAAGCCAGAACCTTTTTGATGTTTGTATGGGAAGCACTACAAGATTTAACACTCATCATTCTTATGGTATGCGCTGCAGTTTCAATAGGTGTTGGAATTGCCACTGAAGGGTGGCCAAAGGGCATGTATGATGGTTCAGGAATCCTGCTTAGTATTATCCTGGTTGTCATGGTTACTGCCATAAGTGACTACAAGCAATCCCTGCAATTCAAGAAGTTGGATGAAGAGAAAAAGAAGATATTTGTCCATGTTACTAGGGACGGTAAGAGACAAAAAATTTCCATATATAACTTGGTTATTGGAGACATCGTTCATTTGTCAATCGGAGACCAAGTTCCAGCTGATGGGATTTTTATATCTGGTTATAGTTTGCTGATTGATGAATCAAGTTTATCAGGGGAGAGCGAGCCAGTTAATGTAGATGAAGAAAAACCTTTTCTTCTATCCGGAACAAAAGTGCAGGATGGATCAGCGAAAATGTTGGTAACAGCAGTTGGCATGAGGACTGAATGGGGTAAGTTGATGGAGACACTAAGTGAAGGGGGTGAAGATGAGACCCCACTGCAGGTGAAGCTGAATGGTGTTGCTACGATTATTGGTAAAATTGGTTTGGGTTTTGCAGTGCTTACGTTTCTGATTTTGACAGGAAGATTTTTGGTGGAAAAAGCACTTCATCATCAGTTCACTGTTTGGTCTTCAACTGATGGACTTGCACTTTTGAACTACTTTGCTATTGCAGTAACTATAATTGTCGTTGCAGTTCCTGAAGGATTACCATTGGCAGTGACACTGAGCCTTGCTTTTGCAATGAACAAATTAATGACTGAAAGGGCACTTGTGAGACATCTAGCCGCATGTGAAACAATGGGTTCTGCAAGTTGCATTTGCACGGACAAAACAGGAACTTTAACTACAAACCATATGGTGGTTACTAAAATTTGGTTATGTGAAAAATCTATAGAGATAAAGGGTAAGGAGAGTGAAGACATGCTAAAATCTGAACTATCTGAAGAGGTTTTAAGCCTCCTTCTGCAAGTTATATTTCAAAATACTGGTTCTGAAGTTGTTAATGTGGATGGAAAGATCACCATTTATGGATCTCCTACGGAGACAGCAATATTAGAATTCGGCTTGCTTTTGGGTGCTGACTTTGATGAGCAGCGTAGAAACATTAGCATACTTAAGATAGAGCCCTTTAATTCAGTCAGGAAAAAGATGTCTTTACTTGTTGCTCGGCCTAATGGCAGGAAGCGTGCTTTTTGCAAAGGAGCATCAGAAATAATATTGAGAATGTGTAATAAGTTTGTTGACCCAAATGGAGAACCTCTTGATTTATCGGACCAACATGTAAGCAATATAACGGATGTTATAAATTCCTTTGCTTCTGAAGCTCTGAGAACTCTATGCTTGGCTTTCAAAGACATGGATGACTCTTCCGATGAAAGGACAATCCCTGAAGAAGGCTATACATTGGTAGCAGTTGTTGGAATCAAAGACCCTGTGCGTCCGGGGGTAAAAGATGCTGTTAAGACTTGTTTAGCAGCTGGAGTAACTGTTAGAATGGTAACTGGCGATAATATAAACACGGCTAAGGCCATAGCTAAAGAATGCGGCATACTCACGCCAGATGGTGTGGCCATAGATGGACAGGAGTTTCGTAATCTGTCTGCTGAACAGATGAGAGACATTATACCCAGAATCCAGGTACCTAAAATTGTAGTGCACAAATAATTTACTTTTTCTGCTATGTGTTATTGATGATGCTTCAACTTCTCTATGCTTCATATGGACACAGGTAGTGGCGCGGTCTTTGCCGTTGGACAAACACACCTTGGTGACTAATTTGAGAAATATGTTCGGTGAGATTGTTGCAGTAACTGGTGATGGGACCAACGATGCTCCTGCTCTGCAAGAAGCAGACATCGGACTTGCTATGGGCATAGCAGGAACAGAGGTCTGTGCATTTGCAACTTTAAAACATTCATTTATTTTTCTTACAAGCCAATCTGTCGCGTGATTAATGCAATAGATATTTTTCTTCTTTATCATCTAATGTGTTGGTTTCTGGTTACCATTTACTTTGTTGTGTGCATGTTGCAATCTGCTAACCTGTATGTTTCCCTATACATCTGCTTCATGGGAAAAAGGTTCCAGTCAATTATTCAAATAGTTTAGCAATTTTGATAGCATGTTGCTATTTTTTAATATGTTTCTGCTTTGGTCATCATGTTCTGCTGCTGTATTTTTTTGATGCTTTTTTTTAAATGTTCTCAACATGACCTTTTTTTGTGCATATTTTGTGCAGGTTGCTAAAGAAAACGCCGACGTCATAATAATGGATGACAATTTTGCAACTATTGTAAATGTAGCCAGATGGGGACGTTCGGTATACATAAACATTCAAAAGTTCGTTCAGTTCCAGTTGACAGTTAATGTAGTAGCTCTGGTGCTAAATTTTTTTTCTGCTTGCATCTCAGGTTTGTTGGTCTAGCTGGTTCTTCTTTTCCATGCAGTGTTTCTATTATTATGCACTATGATAACTTTCTATGTCACTGTCAGGTTCTGCTCCTCTTACTGCTGTGCAACTGCTGTGGGTCAACATGATTATGGACACTCTTGGTGCACTGGCACTGGCCACAGAACCTCCTAACGATGAACTTCTGAAAAGGCCTCCTGTACCGAAGGGTGCGAGCTTCATCACAAAGGCCATGTGGAGGAATATCATCGGTCAGAGCATTTACCAATTGGCCGTCCTTGCAGTGCTAAATTTCACCGGGAAGCAGCTTCTAGGACTTAATGGTTCAGATGCAACTATGGTTCTCAACACTTTGATATTCAATGCATTTGTGTTTTGCCAGGTATATCTATCCAAATAAGAATCTACCCTACTCCAAATCTGATTCGACATATCGTATATTCGTATTCATGTTCTTCGTCTTCAAAAAGCTCATTCTTTATATGCAATGCATCTAGACAAAAGGAGCAATCTCGGATGAGTTACTCGTTTGGACACGGGCATAATAGTGCTTCTTTCTGTATGTTTCTGCAGGTGTTTAATGAGATAAACAGCCGAGATATAGAGAAGATAAACATATTCCGCGGCATGTTTAGCAGCTGGGTTTTCCTTGGCGTCATCTTTTGCACAGTGGCCTTCCAAGCCGTCATAATCGAGTTCTTGGGCACATTCGCAAGCACCGTGCCACTAAACTGGCAATTATGGTTACTCAGTGTCTTAATTGGATTTGTTAGTATGCCAGTTGCTGTTGTCCTCAAGTGCATCCCAGTTGAAATCAAAACCAAGCACCACGATGGCTATGAAGAGCTCCCTAGCGGCCCAGATCTTGCTTAAAGATTCGGAGAAGCAAAAGCTGAAAAAAAGAAAAAAAAAAAAGTAGCTAACTATTAGTGACTAGGCTGACCAGTAGAATGCCTTTTGCCCTTTTTTCACACTCTTGAAAACATATACTTTCCGTTCAAATCATTACAACATCTATATTTTCCTATCTTACAGCAAACGTTAGTAGGTGTTAGGTGAAAAAAATTTTATTAAGTTGTACCTTTGAGTTTTCTTTTTTAGTCATTAACTGATGTATGGGAACACAATTCCTTTTTGAAATATAATTTGGAGTCTTGCAAATCTTTGAATTTTACGTTGATTGCTTAGAGAATAAAAAAAATGTTGTAGTATCTCTACTTTGGTATAATTATGATTTATGGGTGGTTATATAATTGGGTACACAGGTCAAGAACATTTTAGTATCAAGTTATTATCATTTTTATTTTTTTGATAGATTACCGCATACAGGTCTTGTGATAAATAAATTTATATGAAAAATCTTGCATTTTACGAAAATTGTAAATTTATGGGGTGGGATGTAGAATAATTGGTTTTAAGCACTTTTGCGTTAATGAAGATGAAGCAACATAAGCTGGTATGCTTTTGGCCCTCGCGAATTGCTACCTCTTAAAGGGCCAAACTCCTCTTGTTACCTGTTTTACCTAGTAGCTGCATGAGCACTCCTATTCATCTACATGAGATTAAAACCTCGCTACTCGCATAAGGTTGGTTCTGCTAGGTGGTTAAGTAAAATCTAATTTAATGGGACCCACCTTTTTGTGAGTAATGGAGATTTATTCTTATAAAAATGAATACTATATTGTGAAATGCTAACGTCATTCTGTCACTTTCTTTCTTATTCTTTACATTCATTGTTTGACACGTGACACTAGCATTTCTCTTACTATTTTTGGAGCATCAAATTCAAGATTAATCCAACGACAAAATCAAAACACCGAGATAAACCAAGAAAGATCCTACGTTTATGCACAAACAAATTCCAAACTAAAATCAATCCAATCAAAGGAGTATAACATCATCCTCTGTAGGTGATGACGATGCCGTGACGACGGGGACAACGGTCAGGTAGGTGAGCCAGGCCTCTCTCTTGGAGGTGGCGAGGTAAGCAAAGAGTGCAGTGAAGAAGGGCTTGGTGGTGCCGACGGCCTGGTTGCAGGAGAAACCATAACTAGTTTGTTCCTAAGGTTTCTTTAAAAATGAATGTAGCATCTTAATATTATTAAAAATATAGGTTACCAATGAGAAGTTTCGTCATAACAGAGAGTACTAAAATGATTTTACCCCTTTGATCAATACTCTAAACAAAAACATCTCATTCTCTTGAGATCTTTTGCAGGAATTTCTGAGGCTTCCAATCAAATTGACAAGGCACATTGCTGGCTCTTGCTCAACATAAGGCACCCAATCTCAGAGTATAGCTCGGAAACTAGTTATTGACCAAGTCAAAATTGGAATGAGAAAATGAAACACTAGGCACATTATGTGGCTCTTTATGAGAGAGATTCACAAAAAGTGCTTGCATCTATGAATTTTGCCTCGAGACTTTCTACAATAATTTGTTTATTCTCTTGAAAAAGTCTGGAATTTGCTCAACGGTTTTACGTTTGAGATTGTACTTCACTACTCGGTGAATGTTTTCAGTTTGTTTCACTATTTTCATCCTGCTTCATACAAATTCGATCAGAAAAAGGAAAATTCTGTATAATATCAGCATTCAGAAGAAGCCAGCAAAATCGTGGATGGTGAGATTTTGTATTTCTCGAAAAGACTGATAATTTTTTCTCTGTATAGTTCAATTTGGAGAAAACATCACAAGGTACTCTTTATGCGCATATTTAAGATTGAGAAGTACAAATAAATGGATAAAAGTTCAGCATTTGACAAGCAATTTACTGACGGTTGAAAAACAAGCAGCAATCAATATGGCTTGGTGTTTTTTTCTTGAACTCACGCCTCAAAAGCTTAAAGTAGTTACGCGTCACGGCTTGCGCCAAATGCCTTTGGAAAGCCTCAAGATAGATATACGCCTCGCGCCTTGAAAGCCCTGAGGCTTAAGACTTGAGCCTCAAGGCTTAGGCCTCGCACCTCGAGAAGCCTTGAGGGTTTTATATCTTTCCGAATGACAAATAGAGTAAGAGACTGACCAGTCCAACTTCAAATGATCCCGATAAATAGTTCTTAAACACTAATGTCCAAAACAAAATGCCGTTTCATGCTCAATTCAAAATCAACAAGGTCTTGATATTTTAGTTTTGCCAATAAGTTGTTTCAAAAAGGTCCTATAAGAGCTAGAAGGTCAAGTCTTAATATTTTGTTAATGGTGGCAATAAGATGAATCGTTACCAGAAGATAGAGCCTAGTCAGTTTAATGCTGCTCAATATCATAAAAAGTAGATTATAAACAATATATATTGCCCACAATATAGAGCCTAAGACATATCAAATATTGGTAGCAACTAGCAGCCATAATTTATTAATGGGAATTGAGTTCGCAACAATGATATAATCTGCCAATAAAGACGGTACCTATAAGAGTTACAAACAACAATTTCTATAGGATAACAATGGCAAGGACAAGGAACTGCTTAGGATCATGGGAAGTGGGAATCGGATAATAACTATAATATGATAAATACAAAACTAAACTAAAATAATACTCTCTCTCTCTCTCTCTCTCTCTCTCTCTCTCCCTCTCTCCTTGCATGCAACAAAATGATATCCACCAAGAATCTAGTTGGAGCTTAAAGTCAATGCCTCGTTAAAGAAAATTCTCAGTCGAAATAAACCATACTTAAATATGGTTAATGCAGGGAGTTACTTATCTAAACCTCCGCTTTGCTTCCCCATATGCCAGAACCCCCATTACGGTAACTGTGTACCCGCCGATGCCCATGACGGTGACCGGATTTCTGAACAGAAGTATAGAGATCACAACAGCCACAGCACCTTTTGCATTGCCTAACACCTGATCATGACATAGTTTCAGTGGCAGATCAAGATGAGGGTTCAACAGCAGTAGAAAATAAGAAAGCATACATTAAGAATGAATTAAATTCTATTTGATATGAAAATCAATCACTTAATATTGCCGTTGTAATAGCACAAGCTGAGTGACAAAGGGACTCAGAGGAATGAGCTCCAAGACTCATTTCTTGATCGTAGTATATCATTATGGTAATAATATGTTGATATTTTCCAAGTTATTTAACTAAATTATTTTCTAACTTTCTTATTCCAATGGAAAAGGGGTTGTTATCTTCCAATGGAAAAGGGGTAGTTATCTTCCAATGGATGATATATGTATTTCCGCCTATAGAATAGCCTATTGAAAAATGATAACTCACATATCACATTAGGTGGTATTTTCATAGCACCAAGACGCCAGTTAACAGTACTATATAGTTTTAACAGAATATCTTATCCTAAATATTGAATGCTCAAGACAAATCCGTAAACAAAAATAGGCAAGCCTTTCTTCTTCTTGTTTCCTTTGTAGTTTTAAGTTGACAGAACCCCCATATGGTCTTATACAATTCTTCATTACTTGATGTCATTAGCTTTTCATTTTCGCTAAAATTTATTTAAATATCTTATAGACAGCTTGGATTTACCAGTGGTATTTCATGGAAGAATAAATTTGAAAGAAAAATTAAGGAAGAAATAGGATAATAAGGGGGGAAAAAAACCTGGAGTGTTAGTGCACTAGTATGTTTAGTGACCAAGAAATTTGACAAATTAGCCGAATAAGCCAGTACTGAATTGACAAAAAGAAGTAACCACATGAATCTATGCTCTCTTCCGAGCTCTAATGTAACTTCCATGACGTTTGGCTCCATTACAAGTGATGCAGGCAGTAATACTAGCACAGCGATTGGGGACATATAGAGCAACAAATTCATTGAGTTTAACTTTTCCCTGCAAGTATGAGACATTAGAACATAGTAAGAAATACTGATTCAAGTACTTCACAGTTTCTGCTAGACAGATAAAAAGTTTCCTGACAGTATAGTGAAATTCTATCTACAATTTGTATAGTCTGGGGAAGTAAAAAAGGTCTTAATACGTAGTATTTCCTTTCTTTCTTAAAAAAAAAAAAAAATTAGCGGGGTTAGGATGAAAACAATCTAGTATGATCTTAGTTTTATGATGTCTATCTTTCACATTTAACATTTACTGGTAGTATTTTAGTATCATCGTAACCAAATACATATCCTACTTTGAAGCATATTTGCTCCTTAGTAGCCTCACTAGAAAGATATCATGAAATACATGTCCCTTTTCGAAGCATATTTGTCACCTCTGCTAGACAGATAAAAGTTTCTTGACAGTACGGGGGAAAAAAAAAGAGAGAAAATAGAAGATATACCCTTCAGAAGAAAGCAGGATGCCCTGAAGAACAGACTTAAAGGCCCTTGCAGCAGTTGCACTTAGGCACATAATGAAGCCAAACAAGTGAAAACCCGGTTCACCCTATCACCAATCAAGACATAAGAACATAAAGAAAGGCCATGCTAAAATTAATAGACATCCAACGCTCTTTATCAGTCAATCAAAGAAACAGCTCAATAGATGTATGCACGTATGTCTGTTTTGCTCTCCTTATTTATCTAAATTGCAAAGGAGAAAATATTGACATAGGATCAAAAAAGTAAAATTCATTCTCAGAGTTCCATCACATACAGAAACATCACTAATGTTAAACATTAAGATGACGATGCAAAATTAGAAACTTTTAATAAGAGCATGTTTGTTTAGGAGAAGTCTCGTATCTGATACCAGTTCAATCTGATTGATAATATTGATCAAAGTATGATTATTTTAGAAACTACTGTTTGAGAACAGGAAAGAAATTGAGAAGCAACCATTATAAAATGCAACTTCATACAATAAACACCGAAACTCCCTCAACCTTAGCAATCCATTTAAGGCTGTAATGAAACCCATTTGATTCAGCCAACAAGTACTACAGATCATTCAGGATATCAAGTCTGAAGTTTTGCCAAACTAACATTAAAAAGACCACTCAAGTAATGTCTCTTACATGAAATGTAATCCAAAAGCCATGACATATCCCATTTCTACTCCTATACATTGCGTCAGAGACGGAGGCGATTTGCATTACTCATTGGAGATTAGATCACAAGCAACTAGAGTTCTTAGAATTTTCCCAGCCGATAAAATTCTTACTTTATATATTCTGGCAGATAATTCATCCTCAGGGAAAATACACAAATAAATAATTTGTCCTGCTATACTTCCATCCTAGATTTCAAAGACAAATCTGACATTTCCAAAATCTTAGAAATTTAACCGAGACTCCTCTGAATCAAACTAGAACAATACTCATTCACCCAAAAAAAAAGGGGGGGAATAATACTCATCCAAAAACTTTACTTTTCACCCCCAATGCGTGACCTATTACATATATTGAGCCATTACCATAAAAAGAAAAAGACAACATAGAGATTGGACCAAACAAAGATCACCCAGTTTCAGCAAAAATCACCGCTCAGTAAACCAAGTAAATAAGCTTCCAGATCTTTAATGTTATGTGAAACGACACAATTAATTTCAAAATTAGAAATGAAAATTACTTAAAAGACTTTCAGAAATAGAAGAGTCCAAAACTGATAACCACCACCAAGATAAACCAGGAAAGTTCCTACATTGATACACAAAACAATTCTGATTTGGGAACAAAAAATAACAACAAACTCATCCAATTGACAAAAAACTTTCAGATCTGTGCTGCATAATTAGACCACAATTAGTTTTTCTAAGCATCAAAATTCCAGATTGATCTCTGACAAAATCGAAACATTGAGATAAACCAGGAAAGATCCTAGATTTACGCACAGACAAATACCGAGCAAAAATCAATCCGATTAACGAAGTCTTCAGATCTCCAATCGCATAATCGAACCAAAATTCGTTTCTAAGCGTCGAATTCCATATTAATCACTAGTAAACCAGGAAAGATCCCACATTTATGCACAAACAAAATTCCAAACAAAAATCAATCCAATTAACGAAAACTTCAGATCTGTAACTGCATACTGAGACCAAAATCAGTTTCTTTAAGCATCAAATTCAGGATTAGTCATTAATAAACCAGGAAAGATCCCACATTTACGCACAAACAAATTCCAAACAAAAATATATCCAATCAAAAAAGGCACACAAGATCATACTCCGCTGGCGATGACAACGCCGGCGACGACGGGGACGAGGGCGGCGTAGGTAAGCCAGGCCTCTCTCTTGAAGGTGACGAGGTAAGCGAAGAGCGCGGTGAAGAAGGGCGTGGTGGCGCCGACGGCCTGGTTGAAGGAGACGGCGAGGTATCGGAGTGAGATGTTGCCGCCGACGACGGAGGCGCAGAATACGAGGCTGAGAGTGGCGATCTTGAGGAGCTGAGGCTTCGATTTCAGCGTTTGGAGAGGGACGACCTTGAGGAAGACGATGGAGAAGTAGCTGAGGATGGCACAGGCCGACATGTGACACATTGTGAGGAAGATTGGGAATCGGAAGCCATAGTTGGAGAGCAAGAACTTGTTGAGGAGAAGAACGCCAATGTTGGAGGAGTACCAGAGGATCACAAGAGAGGAAATGAAAATGGCGTCCTTGCTTAGAGGCATTGTTGTTGTTGTCGTTATGGTCGTGGTGTTTGTTTGTCAAACGAAGCTCGCATTTGAGCTTCAATGGAAAATGGGCTAATTTGTTTGCTTTTTTTTTTCTCTCTTTAAATTTAAATAATTTTGTAATTTGTAATTTATGTTTTTTTAATTTAATTTTAAATTTGTGAAAGGTATTTTTGGTGCGTCATGTAGTTGTGTAAAATGTGCAGGTGGAAGGAAGAGAGGAAACGTCTATTTTGTGTTGCCCCCTATCTTTTGAAAATTATTATGTATAATTGTATATAAACTCCAAAAATTTATTAATGATTTGTGGGAAAGAAATAACTATCAAAAAGAGAAAAAATGAAAAAGACTAATAAATAAATTCCAGGGAGCTTCTCGGAGAAGAATTCCTGACATTTGTGTGGAATAACTAACAAAAAGAGGAAAATGAAAAAGACTAACGTGTTGTTCTTTCACAATAAAATTTAAAAAAAATTTAAATTCGAGTTATAATTTTATTTAAGTTTATATTTTTTTTATAAAATTTAAATTTGAACTCGAGTTTGAATTCGAGTTTGAACTCGAGTTTATGGCTAAATTTGAGTTCAAGTTTTCCCTTCAACTCGAGTTCATAAACTCGAACTCAAGTTAATGAACATTATTTTTTCTATTCTTAAAAATGTCATAATTTTTTTGTTTTAATTATGATTGAGATAATTTTTTTCCTATGCATTCACAATGAAAAGACAAATAAAACCACACCCATATACCCTATTAAAATTTTTCATCACCATTGAGTTTTTATTAAAATACTATCTAAATACAAATTTAAGTTTTGACTCACCCAAACACAAACTCAAAAAGATTCTCAATTCAAATCATAACTCAAATGTGCACATTCAAACACAAACTCAAATTACAGCTTCAACTCAAATTATAACTCAAACTCAACTCAAAGAACATCACTCAAATCACCCTAACTCAAAAATGCAAAAGAACAACCCTTAAAATAAATTTCAGGGAGGAAACTTTCATGGTGTTTGAAGAAGAATTTTTAAAATTTGTATCGAAAATATGATAATTTGCGCATTTTATAACGTTACAATTATATAAATTATGATAGAATAACATTTTTAAAATGAATAGGATAACTTACACATTGAGTAATATATTTATAAACTTTAAACGTTACCATAAATTTATAGATCAATACGAGTGCAGAGAAGCTATCACGAAATTTCTTATTTAAAATATGTTATTAAGTTCGTAGTTCATCAAGTTTTGAACTAAGTACATGCTGGTTGGAGGGCTGAGGTGGGTTTGAATCCAAAAGTCAATTTATTCTTGTTTAGTTGCATTACATTTTGAACTTAATTTGGGTTTAGGGTTCATTTGAATCTAAATTTGAAGATTGAAATCAATTTTATCCCCTAAAGTTCTCACGTTCTAACTCATTTTACTCTTTAAAACTCAATTCAAAAGTTTCCACCAACTATTTTAACTCACATTTCTTTTTTAAAAAAATAAAATAAAATAACTTAACATTAGTTTAAACTTTATTTCTAATTTAGATCTTATATTACTAAGCGTAGTTCGAATTAAAAAAAAAAAAAAAAAAAAACTACTTATAAGTTTAATCTAAAGATTTAAATTCATACAATTCAAACTCACAAAGCAAACGGTGCCTAATAAACTAATTTGAACCAATGTTTTTAGTGAAAGTAATTACGTTAAACTATGTGTGGATTTTTGTCTGATTGTAAAAAAAAATTTAGTGATAACAACAAAAACCTCCCACCACCCCATGATTTCATTAAAAATATTGTATTTCACTCTATATTTTAATAAATTATATGATACTTATTCCTTATCTTTTAGAAATCATCTCGAACCTATGTTATAACATGAATTGATTAACTCACGCTCCAAGCTTTTCTCTAAGTGATCAAAATATCATGGACAAATTACACATTTTCCCACTGAATTATAGGTATTGTCACCAAATAACCTTCGAATTTTAATTTTAGTTTTTTTTTTCTTTCAAATTTCAACAACTCTTACAAATTTTTTTCTCAGCTAAATTTTTGGTAGAAAATGTCACGTGAAATGTAAAAATTAACAAAAAAACTCATGTTAAGAGTTTTAACAAAAATAACACATCACATAAATAATGAGTATCGTTGAACCATTTTTATTACACAATTCCTCTATTAGCTCAATCTCATTAGTCACATAGAAGTACAATTACGTAGTAAGAGTTGTCATTTTTTTTTACCACATCAACTTTCTCTTAATTTACTTGACATAAGGAACCTTGGAAGTTTATTAATGGTGGGCAATAGTAACAATAGAAGTAAGAATTTAACAAAAAGATAAAATTTGCAAGAGTTATTAAAGTTCAGGAAGGAAAAGCTAAAATTAAAATTTAGGGTATTTTATGACAAGGCCAATAGTTCGGGACGAAAACATTAATTCATCCAAATACCTTTGTTAATTTGTTTTCAATTAAAAACAAACTATCAACAAATTAATATTCTTTTTAAAAATAGAAATCAAATTATTAATAAAAAGAAAAAACACCACCTATATTTTGCCTAAATATGACCTTTTAATGTATACTAGTGGAGATAGGTACGTGCAGAAACATTACAATTAATTGCATGATCATCCTATGGAGGAAGCATTTCAACCTCAATATCAGCGTCGAGGAGTTCTTGTGTTGTTATGCTCTTCGAGCTTCTCCGGGTTAAAGGGGCTTCTTCTACCTCGCCTTTCATACAAAGTCCAAACCACTAGTTCCACCGACTGTGATTGAGAAGTCATCTAACTCCCATGGGCAGAAGCCCCAGTTCTTCTTCTTTGGCGGTCGATTTGATTCTCATCCTTCTGACAGCGAGCACCCTTTAGGGGTTCAAATTGTGTTTAGCAATAATTGTAGGTTCCTTATACGTCGACCTATTTTTAGAGTTTTAATCAAGCAGTCTTTCATATTGTATTTTTGGTGCAGGTGAAAATCCATTGTGGCCCAAGTTGTCTGGGAGTGCATTGGAAAGAGTCGAGTAGATGTTAGCTCTTCTCAACTCCAGTCATAGCTTCATGTTGCTCAACATATTAGAGAATCGTAAACTTTACGGTCTACAGGTCGACCTTCCTTTCCCGTCTTAACCAGTTATCCCCACAGCTGAGCTTATTCAAGGAAATTAAAAATTTTCTAAGGTTTTTCCCTTATTCAACTCGGTCGAGTTATCCCTTTTTACCCGTCGTTGAGTCTCAGTACCATATTTTCTTTCGCATGAGCAATTACTCTGACAATGAAGTACACTCTTCTAGGCCAACAAAAGAAACAGAAGGCTACCGATAGCTATAAGTCGAAAGGTAGAATGACTTCTTGAGAAGCCCGAGCAACAATCGCTTTGTCGACCCAAGATATTACTCTTCCGCCCAAGAAGGCTCGGGATGAAATTCCTGGGGTTGTTCATGTCGACGAGGTGTCTGGGAGCTCTCGTTAGGCTGACAAGGGCAATAGAGCCTAAGTAGTGGCTAATCCCAGGGTTGAGAGTTCTCGATTGGGAATTCCAAGTGACTGGAGTCTCTGACCACTTCATTAATCAGGCCATTCGCCTTCCTCCCCACTTCAGTCTACCCTCCCAAGCCATCAATACCTACTTCCACGAGAGTTCATGGGATATGTTTTCTGAGATGGACCTTCTAGAGTGCTAACATATTGTTGTTGTGCACTAGATTTCTATAAGTTTCTTGCCTTTTTCATTGCACATCATGCTTTTCACTTCTCGTCCTCTTTTTGAATGGACTGGCCCATTTTGACCCATTATAGGTTTAGATGGGCTGGCCCATCTAAGCATGTAATTTTCAATTTTTTTATTTTTATTTTTATTTTTTATTTTTTAAACAAATTAACAAATATATAAGTTTGAATAGTTAATAAAAATATGAAAAGGGATATTTTATTTACGATTATCTCATTAAATAAAAACCTTTCTAAAGAAAACTCAGTGGGACAAAACCTTGGTAAAAAGAGTACAATCAGAATAATTATACATAAGATGTTGACAAAATTACTAAAAAAAAAAAAAAAATGAAGATAGTATGGGCCTAAATGGGCTAGGCTGGGCCAGCCCATCATGGGCCTAGACGGGCTAGCCTGGCCTAGCCCATGATTTTTCATGGACCGTATCGAGTTGGCCCATGGGCTGATATATGTTGGCCCAGCCCAGCCCAGCCCACCAATATTTATGGGCTGGGCCGTGCCTTGAACAGTAACAGGCCATGCCAGCCCAGCCCGTCACTATGTCAGGATGGGCCTGGGCCGGCCCACGGGCCCTAACCTATTGTTGCATCTCTACATTTAACATCCATTCGACACATCAAGTATGGTTATTTCATATTTTTGTTATTTCTTTTTGTATAATTTTGCTTCGTATACTTGCTGTTTTAACATATTGTTATTATTTTGTTCTCATTACGATAAAATGGTTGTTTTTTTATATTAGTGTAAAAAGAGAAAAAAAAAAACCTATATATACCCCGTGGTTAAGAATAATCCAAACTCGTAAGAGAACAAGAACAAGCTTTATTGCCTTATCTTTATCTCTACCCAACCTCATCACCTTCTACATAGTCACCATTTCGCACATTGTCAGCCTCCCTCTTGACGACGATACTGCCTCCAAGTACATCTCTATGACTCATTTGCTTGCCGCCAAGTAAAGGACTTGTGCTTCGATGTAAATCCTCTATGGCGAGCCCTAATGAAGATACTGTTGGTCGCCGAATCGAATCCGGCTGCGGAAGCGTGGTGGTGCGGGGGGAAGAGGCGGATTGTGTATAACAAAAATTTTCATAAAACTTTTGAGATACTCTATAGATTATATTAATTTATGCACGAATAAATTAATCTCATTAATTCATTTATTAAGAACTCAATCAGGAAAAATACCTGGAAGCCGACTCGGATGATAACTTGAGTTCTTTGACCACGAACAGTCCTCGCTCCAATCTTTGTGTTTAGAAAACCAATGTCTTCCACGTCAATTCCTAGAATCCACGAAGACGTGTGTGTGGGCACACATGAGACAAAACGGGTTACAATAAACACTCGAATTTCCACAAACACCATCGCATGCACGATGTGGAATTTTTGGAGAAAAATTTTTTCTTCCTTTCTCTCTTGAGAATTTCGGCCAGCCTTAACTCTTAGGGCTGAAAAATTGTTTCCAAAATTTCTATAGAGAAATTTCGGCTACCTCTAAAATTAGGGCAAAAAACCATTCCGAAAATTGTCTCAAAAATAATATTTATAGAGTAAAAGTCAAACTTCTAGAAGGAATCCAATCTCTATCTCTAAGATAAAGCTTGTTAATTATCTCCTATTTGAATTTTAAACAAAATCTCTTCTTTTCCTCTATCCTATATGGCCGGCCATTCTAAGGGGATTCTCATCCCTGTGTGGCGCCAATATCAGATAGGGAAGGAAGAGAAAATCATCATTTATCCTGTAG